ATGACAACTGTTATTGGACACTATTATCAATTAATTGAAAAAAAAAATATATGTATTTTATTGTTAAAAACCTTAGAGATTCAGTTTTAAAAAAAAAAGAGCAGACTTCGTCTAAGACAAGTTTAGCTTAATATGTTCCAAGTAGTTTAAGGTATTATACCACTCAGGCTTTGCACCCATCTTCCAAACAACCTGTGTATTCATTGCACCAATATGCGATTGCCAATACTTTTTATTTGTGGATTCGAATGTATCAGTTACAGCAGGTAAGATATTAGATTTAGGTATACCTTAGCTGTGTATTCTCTCTTATTTTCCTACGTTATGAAATTATGAAATAGTTACATTGTTGAGTAAACAATAGTTAAAATTGTTAATATTAAACTCACACAAAAAAAAAAAAATAAACCACAAGCACGATAAATAATCAATGTATAGTGTTCGCGTAAATATAAGAAATCATTAAATAGTTAAAATTTGTTTTTTTAAATCAAAACTTTTGTAAAGCTAATTTTATATGGATTCAACTATTAAGTTAAATGATCATGATTTATGATTGTTAAGTGATTATGATTAAAGGTAGTGATACGAGTAGTTGTTGACGAAAATTATTGTAGTTTGGTTTAGTTGTACCTACTTACCGGCTTATCTTACTTTGATACACAATTTGACGACTCCGCGCCGCAGAGGCTTAGAATTAGATATTTAAGTAGTAGTAGTAATAGACTGGACATCAGCAACAAAATGGTCATCTGTTACATTTGCCTATAGGATATATTTCGAATTTACGTCATTTAGTCTAGTGACATCGTCGAAAGATCAAGACGAATTCGTATCCTAAATTTGAAAAAAATATTTTGTAAAGAAAATATGCCCGCTTGTACATTAAAGTATTGTAAGTTTCGATATGGAGTAAAAACTGAATGTGATTTCGATTTACTGTCGCAAGTTTATTGTATATTACCTAATAATTTTTAAATTTTATTATTTCTGGTAGATTGTTCTAGAACATTTACCATTATTGTCATAAGCGCCCCCTGTTATCCAGTACTGTCACTATTTATTTACCAAATGAGTTAGTAATTAACAACGTTTATCGATTGGTGTTATCAATAAAAATACTATGCAGGTGGCGCTATCTTATTGGATTTGATGTTTCTCGATGTACCTTCGTCGCTGACCGACCAATCACATGTTATTGCTATAGCGTCTAAAGCCCGGTTTACATTTTGAGAAGTGACAAGTGCGAGTGACAATGACAAGTGACAAATGACAAGTGCTTAGTGCGTGTGAACAGGCAGTGACAAGTGCGAGTGACAAGTGACAAGTGCGAAATGAAAAGTAACAAGTGAATAGCGGTCTGCTCTATTTTCTGACAAGTATCTCTGCCCCGCGCTAACCTTGCTTTCCCCTCAGTTACCCACCGCCGCCCCCGTTCTAGCGGCGACGTCGGAACATACAGATGTTGGTTATAATAGTTATTAAATAAAATATTTTTGTTATATATATTGTATACATACTCGTATTTATAATAATTTTGTTTTATTACGAAGTGGTCAGATAGCAATAACATTAAATTTGTTAAGGAATTATTGAAACACGAATGTTTATACAATATTAAATCTCTGAATTTAAAAAAATAAAATAATGCGAGACGCTGCTATGTCCTCAATATCTCAAGCAATGGGAATGGCCGGTTTCGGCGCAAAAGAAGTAGGTATATGCGAAGTTAAGAAGCATTAAGTTTACATTTTACCAAGAAAAGAAGAAAATTAAAGACTCCTGTAGGTCAGGGCTGGAGCCATCAGAGTTTATTAATAATAATTTTTTTTTAATTTTCTTGAATTTAAAAGATATAATTAATTATAAAAATTAATGTAGTATAATTATTTTAAATAATTAATTGGAAATGAGATGTTAATCGTTTTTAAATATATTATTTTCGGGCTTAAATTTTTTTCCTTGTTATAGCTTTAAGACACATTTTTCTCACTTAAGCTATTTTAGGAAATTGGTTTGCACCAATATCTTTGCAATAAGGCACTTCACACATCTTTTTAATCAAAAAAAGGTAAAATTATATGATGAGAAACCAGTTTTAATCTTTAAAGCTGTGCTAGCGCCTCTTTAACAATTACCAATTTCTCACTCGAAAATTTCACATAATAATGACATCCAATTGCCACATGTGTGAACACCAACTTGCTACTTGTCACTTGTCATTTGTCACTTATCATTGCCGCTCGCACTTGTCACTTCTCAAAATGTAAACCGGGCTTAACGGACCGAGTGACGTCATCCAAGATGTCACCAATGTGACTGCTATTTGAATTGATTCTTATTTATTGGAAATTAAATATTTTATTTCATGACACTAAAATGACCAGTGCGTGTTGCCAGTGATGACTTACGGATCAGAGACGTGGTCCTTCACTGCTGGCCGTATGAGGACGCTCAAGGTCGCTCAGCGAGCTATGGAGAGGGCTATGCTCGGAGTTTCTCTGCGTGATAGACTCAGAAATGAGGATATCCGCAGTAGAACCAGAGTGACCGACATAGCCCAACGGATTAGTAAGCTGAAGTGGCAATGGGCCGGCCATATAGCTCGAAGAACCGATAACCGATGGGGAAGAAAGGTTCTCGGGTGGCAGCCTCGTACCGGTAGGCGTAGTGTAGGGCGACCCCCACTAGATGGAGTGACGACCTGGTAAGATATGCAGGAAGTCGATGGATGCAGGTGGCTCAGGACCGTGCTTTGTGGCTTTGTGGCATTACTTGTGGGAGGCCTATGTTCAGCAGTGGACTTGTGAAGGGCTGTAATGATGATGATGACTAAAATGACTTAAAAAGTTTATATGATTTTTGGTTATGATGGGATTCATACTTAATAGATTTAAACTATAAAACAATCATGCATATTCGTTATCACTATATCGTAAAGCATTTCAAACTTATTAACCCTCAACAACATTATCGATACTATTTGTCGGAGCGGTATCATTCCTTAAACGGATTCCTAAAACCTTCTACTTATTATCGTCACCTATTGGGGAAGAGCTGAAATGTTTTCATAATAAATATGTGAGTGATGTTTTGCTATGTTCAGTTAGAGGGTATCACACTCGCGCGAGCTTAGTTTTGGTATGAAAATATTCCCAATGTCCGCTCTATAGTTTAATTATATATTTAAATTAAGTGTTCAAATCCCACATGCATCAAGAATTTGTATGGCCTGCAAATAGTTTTTCCGAAAGTTTGTCTATGTGCAATTCATGTATGTGTCTTCATGATACAGGAGAAAAATCTAGTATGGGGATAATTTTTTAGTTAAAAATAAATAAATTAGTATAATAATAAAATAGTTTTTTAACTTTTCATAAATTGATCACAACTCATAACAAATTTTTTCGCTATACCCTCGTTCTATGACGTAGTGGATATGTGATGGATGGATAGTATCTACGTTTGTAGTTTTATATTGTTCATTCATTTGTTTATAACTTAATTTATGTATTAATTAGTTTTCTACTTGATTATTTATTTATTTTAATTAAACCTTGCATAATTTATAGGAACAAAAAAGGTTGACGTCAGGCTAAAATAATTTTCTAACCTCGCCTCGTTAACCGTATAACAGTGATATAACGTCAAAGGAAAAGACAACGGAATATCAAAAAATCAGCGATAACATTATACCTTATAATTTTAATTCTTTTGATATTATTATTTATTTATTAAAGTATTTATTTACAAAAATAATTAGAACAAACGGCGGACCTAATGCCTAAAGACATTCTCAGTCCATTACGCTAAGCAAAGATAAACATAAAGGAGGCCATGTAGCAAAAACTAAAATGGAAAAAGAATAATTGAAAAGCTTACAAATAAAAATTATTAAATAAATTAAGTCTATTTATAAACCATATTATATAATTATATCGGATGACATTTTTACCGAAAGGAAAAATATTGGGTATAAAAGGTGAACGTAATAAATGTGTGCTATTATTTAACTTTTTTATCAAATAAACTTTAAATTAGAAAAGTGATTTTAGAATAAAGAAATTAAAATTGTGTGCACCTTTGATTACGCGTAGCAAGTATCGTCTATTGAATGATGAATTTGTAACGTCCTTGACCTTAAACCGGCCGCTATGTAAAAAGTTTTCTTCAAGTTGTTATTTATAGATGGATCAATTTGATAAAATTTCAATGAAAAAAAACAATAAATTTGAACATCTATGCCCTAGGCTTCGACTTCATATTCATTTTTCATAATTCATCAGATTTCATAAGTTTACGCGAACACTACACATTTGAATGAAACTAGTTTTTACGTACCTTCCTAACTCGAAATCGTTTAAAGGTTTACTGAAAAAAAAATTGTAGTCATATCATTTCCACAACTAAGACTCTAGCGTTTAGGTTACAGAGCGTGCAAAAAATAAACATACACACATACATACTTTTGAAAAACATTACCGTCCTTATGGTGTATTCGGGTAAAAAACGCGGTAAAATCTATCCATTATCAATTACTACAGCCCACAAAAGTCCACTACTGAACATAGGCCTCTCCCGTAGATTGCCTCTTTGAGATGATTTCACCATACCTGCCACGCTTGGCAGTCGGGTCGTAGTTGTCGGGGTGTTGCTGCCCATCTTCTGTTTTTAATGTCCCATAATACGACACTCACGGTTCGATATGGGGTAGTGAATATTTTTTCGCCGCCACTACGCGGTTTAAAAAATCCGCAAAAAGTCCATAAAAACCAATTTCATTCAAATACGTAAATGTGTTGAGCGGAGGGGCAACTTAACGATATCGCTTTTTGTTATCTCAATTTCGCTCATCGTCTAAATTTGTTACTGCGGGCTATTTAAGAAAATCTATTCTTAAGGACTAAGCTCCAGTAAACTGAACAAAATATGGAAACATATTACGCTAAGTGGGTGGCGTGTGCCGGTAGAGGCGGCGGCGGCTTGACCGCGGCGGCGCGATGAGCGCGGGCGCGCTGCGGGCGGGCGGCGCGGGCGACTCCACGCCCGGCTCCGACCTCGGCGAGCGCATCACGCGCCTCTTCCCCAAGTGCCGCCCAAGGAACATGCAGCACCAGCACGATAGGTACGCACCCTGTTCCGTGTCACAGCTACACAGCAACAGCTACAGCTAGACAGTACGCCTGCCGCGCAAATGTTAGTCCAACCGTGTCACAGACACACAGCTACAGCTAGACAGTACGCCTGCCGCGCAAATTTTAGTCCAACCGTGTCACAGCTAGCAAGTACGCCTTCCGCGCAAATTTTAGTCCAACCGTGTCACAGCTAGCCAGTACGCCTGCCACGCAACGGTGTGTCCAATCGTGTCACAGACACACAGCTACAGCTAGACAGTACGCCTGCCGCGCAAATGTTAGTCCAACCGTGTCACAGACACACAGCTACAGCTAGACAGTACGCCTGCCGCGCAAATGTTAGTCCAACCGTGTCACAGACACACAGCTACAGCTAGACAGTACGCCTGCCGCGCAAATGTTAGTCCAACCGTGTCACAGACACACAGCTACAGCTAGACAGTACGCCTGCCGCACAAATGTTAGTCTAACCGTGTCACAGACACACAGCTACAGCTAGACAGTACGCCTGCCGCGCAAATGTTAGTCCAACCGTGTCACAGACACACAGCTACAGCTAGACAGTACGCCTGCCGCGCAAATGTTAGTCCAACCGTGTCACAGACACACAGCTACAGCTAGACAGTACGCCTGCCGCGCAAATTTTAGTCCAACCGTGTACAGCACAGCTACAGCAAGTACGCCTGCCGCGCAAATTTTAGTCCAACCGTGTCACAGCTAGCCAGTACGCCTGCCACGCAACGGTGTGTCCAATCGTGTCACAGACACACAGCTACAGCTAGACAGTACGCCTGCCGCGCAAATGTTAGTCCAATCGTGTCACAGACACACAGCTACAGCTAGACAGTACGCCTGCCGCGCAAATGTTAGTCCAACCGTGTCACGGACAAACAGCTACAGCTAGACAGTACGCCTGCGGCGCAAATGGTCGGCCACCCGTGTCACCGAGACACAGCTACAGCTAGACAGTACGCCTGCCGCGCAAATTTTAGTCCAACCGTGTCACAGCTAGCAAGTACGCCTGCCGCGCAAATTTTAGTCCAACCGTGTCACAGCTAGCCAGTACGCCTGCCACGCAACGGTGTGTCCAATCGTGTCACAGACACACAGCTACAGCTAGACAGTACGCCTGCCGCGCAAATGTTAGTCCAATCGTGTCACAGACACACAGCTACAGCTAGACAGTACGCCTGCCGCGCAAATGTTAGTCCAACCGTGTCACAGACACACAGCTACAGCTAGACAGTACGCCTGCCGCGCAAATGTTAGTCCAACCGTGTCACAGACACACAGCTACAGCTAGACAGTACGCCTGCCGCACAAATGTTAGTAAAACCGTGTCACAGACACACAGCTACAGCTAGACAGTACGCCTGCCGCGCAAATGTTTGTCCAACCGTGTCACAGACACACAGCTACAGCGAGACAGTACGCCTGCCGCGCAAATGTTAGTCCAACCGTGTCACAGACACACAGCTACAGCTAGACAGTACGCCTGCCGCACAAATGTTAGTCCAACCGTGTCACAGACACACAGCTACAGCTAGACAGTACGCCTGCCGCGCAAATGTTAGTCCAACCGTGTCACAGACACACAGCTACAGCTAGACAGTACGCCTGCCGCGCAAATGTTAGTCCAACCGTGTCACAGACACACAGCTACAGCTAGACAGTACGCCTGCCGCGCAAATTTTAGTCCAACCGTGTCACAGACACAGCTACAGCTAGACAGTACGCCTGCCGCGCAAATTTTAGTCCAACCGTGTCACAGCTAGCAAGTACGCCTGCCGCGCAAATTTTAGTCCAACCGTGTCACAGCTAGCCAGTACGCCTGCCACGCAACGGTGTGTCCAATCGTGTCACAGACACACAGCTACAGCTAGACAGTACGCCTGCCGCGCAAATGTTAGTCCAATCGTGTCACAGACACACAGCTACAGCTAGACAGTACGCCTGCCGCGCAAATGTTAGTCCAACCGTGTCACGGACACACAGCTACAGCTAGACAGTACGCCTGCCGCGCAAATGTTAGTCCAACCGTGTCACAGACACACAGCTACAGCTAGACAGTACGCCTGCCGCGCAAATTTTAGTCCCATAGCAACCGTGTCACAGCTAGCACAGTACGCCTGCCGCGCAAATTTTAGTCCAACCGTGTCACAGCTAGCCAGTACGCCTGCCACGCAACGGTGTGTCCAATCGTGTCACAGACACACAGCTACAGCTAGACACTACGCCTGCCGCGCAAATGTTAGTCCAATCGTGTCACAGACACACAGCTACAGCTAGACAGTACGCCTGCCGCGCAAATGTTAGTCCAACCGTGTCACAGACACACAGCTACAGCTAGACAGTACGCCTGCCGCGCAAATGTTAGTCCAACCGTGTCACAGACACACAGCTACAGCTAGACAGTACGCCTGCCGCGCAAATGTTAGTCTAACCGTGTCACAGACACACAGCTACAGCTAGACAGTACGCCTGCCGCGCAAATGTTAGTCCAACCGTGTCACAGACACACAGCTACAGCTAGACAGTACGCCTGCCGCGCAAATGTTAGTCCAACCGTGTCACAGACACACAGCTACAGCTAGACAGTACGCCTGCCGCGCAAATTTTAGTCCAACCGTGTCACAGAACAGCTCAGCAACAGTACGCCTGCCGCGCAAATTTTAGTCCAACCGTGTCACAGACACACAGCTACAGCTAGACAGTACGCCTGCCGCGCAAATGTTAGTCCAACCGTGTCACAGACACACAGCTACAGCTAGACAGTACGCCTGCCGCGCAAATGTTAGTCCAACCGTGTCACAGACACACAGCTACAGCTAGACAGTACGCCTGCCGCGCAAATTTTAGTCCAACCGTGTCACAGACACAGCTACAGCTAGACAGTACGCCTGCCGCGCAAATGTTAGTCCAACCGTGTCACAGACACACAGCTACAGCTAGACAGTACGCCTGCCGCGCAAATGTTAGTCCAACCGTGTCACAGACACACAGCTACAGCTAGACAGTACGCCTGCCGCGCAAATGTTAGTCCAACCGTGTCACGGACAACAGCTACAGCTAGACAGTACGCCTGCCGCGCAAATTTTAGTCCAACCGTGTCACAGCATACGTGTCACAGACACACAGCTACAGCTAGACAGTACGCCTGCCGCGCAAATGTTAGTCCAACCGTGTCACAGACACACAGCTACAGCTAGACAGTACGCCTGCCTCCCAAATGTTAGTCCAAGCGTGTCACAGACACACAGCTACGCTAGACAGTACGCCTGCCGCGCAAATGTTAGTCCAACCGTGTCACAGACACACAGCTACAGCTAGACAGTACGCCTGCCGCGCACATGTTAGTCCAACCGTGTCACAGACACACAGCTACAGCTAGACAGTACGCCTGCCGCGCAAATGTTAGTCCAACCGTGTCACAGACACACAGCTACAGCTAGACAGTACGCCTGCCGCGCAAATGTTAGTCCAACCGTGTCACAGACACACAGCTACAGCTAGACAGTACGCCTGCCGCGCAAATGTTAGTCCAACCGTGTCACAGACACACAGCTACAGCTAGACAGTACGCCTGCCGCGCAAATGTTAGTCCAACCGTGTCACAGACACACAGCTACAGCTAGACAGTACGCCTGCCGCGCAAATGTTAGTCCAACCGTGTCACAGACACACAGCTACAGCTAGACAGTACGCCTGCCGCGCAAATTTTAGTCCAACCGTGTCACAGCTAGCAAGTACGCCTGCCGCGCAAATTTTAGTCCAACCGTGTCACAGCTAGCCAGTACGCCTGCCACGCAACGGTGTGTCCAATCGTGTCACAGACACACAGCTACAGCTAGACAGTACGCCTGCCGCGCAAATGTTAGTCCAATCGTGTCACAGACACACAGCTACAGCTAGACAGTACGCCTGCCGCGCAAATGTTAGTCCAACCGTGTCACGGACAAACAGCTACAGCTAGACAGTACGCCTGCCGCGCAAATGTTAGTCCAACCGTGTCACAGACACACAGCTACAGCTAGACAGTACGCCTGCCGCGCAAATGTTAGTCCAACCGTGTCACAGACACACAGCTACAGCTAGACAGTACGCCTGCCGCGCAAATGTTAGTCCAACCGTGTCACAGACACACAGCTACAGCTAGACAGTACGCCTGCCGCGCAAATGTTTGTCCAACCGTGTCACAGACACACAGCTACAGCTAGACAGTACGCCTGCCGCGCAAATGTTAGTCCAACCGTGTCACAGACACACAGCTACAGCTAGACAGTACGCCTGCCGCGCAAATGTTAGTCCAACCGTGTCACGGACAAACAGCTACAGCTAGACAGTACGCCTGCCGCGCAAATTTTAGTCCAACCGTGTCACAGCTAGCCAGTGCGCCTGCCACGCAACGGTGTGTCCAGTCGTGTCACAGACACACAGCTACAGCTAGACACTACGCCTGCCACGTAATGGTGTGTCCAACCGTGTCATAGTTAAACAGCTATAGCTAGCCAGTACGCCTGCCACGCAATGGTGTGTCCAATCATGTCATAGTTAAACAGCTACAGCTAGCCAGTACGCCTGCCACGTAACGGTGTGTACAACCGTGTCATAGTTAAACAGCTACAGCTAGACAGTACGCCTGCCACGTAACGGTGTGTCCAACCGTGTCATAGTTAAACAGCTACAGCTATGCAGTACGCTTGCCACGCAACGGTGTGTCCAATCGTGTCATAGTTAAACAGCTACAGCTAGCCAGTACGCCTGCCACGTGACGGTGTTTCCAACCGTGTCATAGTTAAACAGCTACAGCTAGCCAGTACGCCTGCCACGTGACGGTGTGTCTAACCGTGTCATAGTTAAACAGCTACAGCTAGCCAGTACGCCTGCCACGTGACGGTATGTCCAACCGTGTCATAGTTAAACAGCTACAGCTAGCCAGTACGCCTGCCACGTGACGGTATGTCCAACCGTGTCATAGTTAAACAGCTAC